TCTGTCCCACCCTCTGTACGATGATGCTACTCCATCTTGCTCAGCTCTTCCCCAGATGAGCCTTGTACCTGGGTCAGGCCCACCCTCACTTGCACTGATGCTTCCCCCAGCTGAGGAGAGATGGAGGACAGACCTGGACCCTATCTGAGGACTGCTGCTCCGTCAGCACCTGCAGTTGTAGGCCTGGTGCACAGTCTCTGGAGAGGTCTCCAGTGAGAAACAGTGGCAAAAGCAGGTATCAGAATATTGTGTTTAAACTTGCTTTTACCTCATTGATTTTTTTTCATTTCTACCTACTCATAAAATAATTCATCCTTGTTAATTTAGATACTGCATTTTTTATTATTCCTCAAAAGTTTCATTTATTTTATGTAAATGAAGATTAATTTATACTGATTTTGTGGTTTAAGTTTTTTTAGACCTGTTCTAGGTTAAATACAAGTGTATTTTTAGGCTTCATTTGAAACTAAAGGATACTTTAAATGTGTTTTGTAAATGTTAGGCTTCTAACAAGTATTTCATTTAATACCGTCAGTTAATGAAAGCATACACATCTGAGACCATGTGCTGTAAGCTAGGAGTGAGGAGAGACACTAAAACGGATCACAGAATTTAGTCCAGCTGATTGAAATAGTGTTACATAGAGGAGGAGCAAGGACTAAGTAGAGGAAAGGAGGAAGGCTTTTTAAAGGATGCAGATTTTGAGCCTTGGCATGAAGCAAGTTTAGAGAGGAGGGGTATTCGAGGCTAAGGGGAAGCCAAGGAGATTTAAAGGTAAGTACATGGGCAAGGAATGAATGGCCGGTGTGGGTGTAGGTCTGTGAAGAAGTAATGGGAGATAGATGAGACTGACAAATGGAGGCTGAGAATTGTAACATTGGAAGAAGCTGACGATGAGATCTGAAAACATCAGGAATTGTCTTTATTTCATAGGTGGTAGGAACTCGCTTTTGTGTCTGAGGAGTGATATGACAAGACCCTTGTTTTAGGACAGTCACTGACTATGGCAGCAAGTCTAGTTAGGCCAGAGGTGTGGTGATTCGTAACTAGTAGCCAAAGGTAGCAAGTTGAGAGAGCAGTTGGAATGGAAGAGAGGGTCCATATTCAGAAACGTTGCCATGACATGAGTGAAGCCACCAAAATTAGCATTTGGAGCTGGGGGAAGAAGGTCTGGAGCCCTAATGATTGGGCAGCACATAAGAGGTGGTGCAGGGAGGGAAAATGCAGTCAATGTATTTTGTAATTTGTACATCCTAGTTTGAAGCACCTGTGACAGAACTCATGTCAGGTATGTCAATTCGCCACTTACTATTTCAGGGTGGGAGGAAGGGGACAATTGGTTTGCTCCTTTACCTGCCTGTAGACCTCTCCAATCTTCCTTGTGACATCTGTGTCATCTGCTTGCACAGCCTTTCTGCCGTTTTCATTAAGTATCATTTTGGGGACAAAAGAAGAACATAGGGGAGAGATTTTTGTTGGAGCCCATGTAAGACTTTTAGAATTACCTGAACAAGTAGGACTATAGTTCTGATTGCCAAGGAAGGAGTGAATGAGTGGTAAAACAGCAAAAAGTACTGTTGAAAACTTTGCAGGAAACGTAAAGCAGTCATGACAGTGTCTTGAGAGAAGAGGGGTAGAATGAGGGGTCAGAATGAGTTAAAAAGGGAGAAACCAATGGCACGTGTTCCTTTACCAGACATGATATTGGAGAAGTTGGGATCTACAGATGATGCAGGTTCAGGTGAGCCAGATCTCAAGGTGGAGAGTTTAGATCATCTTGGAAAAGTGTCTCCTAGCCTGAGCCATGCTCTGCTTCATGTCACATGAGGATGGGGCATCCCTCATGGGTTGCTGTACTGATAGGGAAATACATACTTTCATGAAAATCAGCATAAAGTCGATGTAAAATGGGTGGTTTTAGCTTTGATGAAAGTAGGAATGGTTTACAAGATATGGAGGAATGAGAGGGGGAAAGCAAGCTTTTGTGTGGTCTCTCACCTGAGAACTGCTATACACTCTGAGCCTCAAGTCATCTTTACATGGTTGGTAAGAATAATAATTTTCTTGGTTGGAAAAAATGCCTCAAAACTAGGATTAAGTTTTTATTAACATTGTTTTGGTGTCATTCCCACCATGCCCTGCTTCTTCCAGCTGACACTTCCCCACGGTGCGCTTTGCATCTGTGTACGTGCTGCGTTGCTGTGCAGCTCCTTAACTTCTCTGTGCTTCCATGGCCTCAGCTGTAAAGGGCAGAGAGTAAGGTCACTTACACTTGTACATGCCTTACAACAACTGCTCTGTGAAGTGATCATTTTAGAGAAGAGGGAACAGAGACCCACCATTTCCCCATGGTCTTACAGCTACAGCAGAACAAACCCTTCGATCTGTACCAAAAAGTGTTCCACGGCTTTATCTCCCTACTGTCTTCACAGACCACAACACATTTTGAGATGTATGGGTTCAACTGTCACAGGGCTTGGTGGGAGATGAAAGTAGTACTGATGTGCATCATAGAAAGGCTGGTGATTCTGGCAAGGGTGGTGGTTCTTGGTGGACACAGGAGTCCAGAGAGGCAGCAGCAGGGAGGGATGATCACACCTCCTTAGCTGGGAACTCAGGAGAGTTCCAGGTCTAGTGACAGAACTACTTCAGATAGGAGGGAGAAGGGAACTCTTCAGGAGCCTGGGGTCCTGCATTAAAAGGAGCTGGGGAGGCTGAAACATGCTGTTACTGTTATTCCATTTATCACCCACAGGCCAGTCCAAAGACCTTTTACTGTACAGTGTGAATACGATTCATTCTTGGTCCATCATTCAAAAAACAATTAAAGAATCTCTTCTTTCCTCTTCCTCCCTGTCCCCCACAGCCCCCACCACCCTAAAATTGTTTTCTAACTTAAAAAAAAGTGTATATTTGTCAGTTTTTGCCAATTCTTTTGTTTTTTGCTGTGAGACATTCAGTTTCCAGTTTTTTTTTTTTTAATCCAAAGTGAAACACGAGTTTTAAAATGCTTTTGATACAGTCTGAGAGCAAAATCCTAGATTTTTACGTCTTCCGTTGTTCTGATTGATTCATCCTTACTTACATTGACAATATTTTTAGCAACTTGGCTCTACTGAATCTTTCTAAAGCATTTCACCAGGGTTTCAAATAGTTTGTATCTGTTATGTTCATAATCCATTGATTTACTTAACATTACTGGTGTCATTACAACAGATAAAACTGGAACCCATAGGTTTGGGAACAGACTTAGTAAATGTAACTCAGTTGGAGAGAGCAGAAGTCGATGGGTGGGAGTACTAGGCTAGAGCCCCAGCAGGCCAGCCATGGGTGCTCATGACAGAAGTCTGTTCCACAGATCAGATGGAGAGTGCTGGCTACATACAGACTTCTGAATAGCGCCAATTTTCAGATAACAGTTGTGTTTGCAGATCTTAGTTTTGCCAGTAGGTGGCAGATGTGCCTCACATTTTAATACTGGCAAAGGCACAGGACCCTGGGGTTTTTGCCAGTATTAGTGGCTAAGACAAAATACACAACTTTCCCTTCGTCATGAGAAACCCCTTTGGTCTTCTGTGCCTCATTAATAGCCTGGTGCCACTTTCTCTACAAAGTCAGCAGAAATCCAGGATTATGGCAAGAGAACTCAGTAGGATTATAAAGATGTGCTGGTCTTCCCACCTAACTGCTCTAAGCCTCAGTTTCTCCTCTCAATGAGGAAAATAGGCCAATTCCTACCTTACCAAGTTATTACGAGCAGTCAGAGTCATCGCATGTTCTTTTCTGTTTCTCCTTGATTAGAAAGCAAAGGCAGCATTTCACTTTGGGCTAAAGTGTCAGTTACCCAGATTGCCGGCTTGTCATGGCAGAAGGCCAAGAGCAGACAATGTGGCTCTCCACTGGTCCCTCCAGGGCTCCCAACAATGCCCTGACCGCTGATGCTGCTGGAGGCCCACGGCAGAAACCCAGCCTCCTAGCTAGTGAGGCCATCAGTCAGCTGCCTGGTGACGGTCAGCAGCTGGCTCACCACCATGGGAGTCATCCACCTGGCTGAGCCCTGGTGGGCTTGTACTTCCTGAAGCACCATGACCCTGGCATTTAAAGCCTTCATCCATTTTAATAGGCTGGGTGTTGTCAGTTTATACCTGACTTTAGGTACGTGGGTGGTTCGGCCTGAATGACTTCTCTAGAGACAGTGTTCAGAAGGGAGGTCCTTTGGTGAACCAGTACTCCCCAATACCCCCAAGACCTCCTGAAGGTTATTGCTCAGGGGCAGCAAGAGGCCACATGTCAGGATGCTGTGAGGAGGTGAAAGAGAGTAGCACTGACACTGCTGTGCTGAGGCCAGGCCCTTCTGCTCAGAGACTGCTGCCTTGCTGTCCCCAAAGAATACCCTGGGAGCACTGGTCAGGGGCCTGGGCTGTGTGCACTGCAGGTGGGCAGTGGCTCTCTGGAGGAATATGCCCGGATGGAGCCTTGAAGTCTGGGGATGAACTGCAGGAGGAGGGGAGCAGCAGGATGAGAGGGGAATTAGCACATGCTTGGAGAGAGTCTGGAGATGGGTGGGGGACCTGGTGTGAGGACCGAGAACAAGTGCTTTCCATCACCTTGCAGGCTCAGGTCACTTGACACGCCACAGTCACCCACACCTGGCCCAGGTGCAGAAGTAGGGACTGCCCAGCAACCAGCCTGAGCTCATAGTCAAAATCTGGGCCTGGAGGAGAGAGAGCCAAGTAAAGGAAAGGTCTTCATGGTGGAAGGCCCGGGGACCTCCCGATATAGAAACCCACTCAGAGGCCCAGATGGCTCAGAGGAGGTCAGAGAAAGGGAGTGAGGAAAGGCATCTTGCTTTAAGCACACGGATGATAGAGCTGAAAGCAGAGGATTTGCACAAATCCAGCTGTAGCAACAAGGCTCAGTGCTCCCAGCCCTGCCTGAAACAGTAGAGGTCACTTGGTAAACCCCATCTCACACAGCCACAAAGAACAAGTCGGGTTAGGAGGCATTGTGCTTTCTGAACAAATTTAATAAAGCAAACTTCCTGTGGCTACCCAGATCCCGGGTGCCATCCATTTATGTGGCCATGGGGGACTTTTCCTGGGTGAGGGGCTAATCACTGCCCCCTTCTGACCATCACCAAGCTCCATGTGGTTGGAGCAGCCTCCAGATCCCACCTGGGGTGCCTGGGGGTAGGGTGGAGTCAGGATCTCTCCCCAGCTGGTTCCAGGGCACCTGGCCCTACCAGGCCTGGTCCCAGCTACCGAGGTATCTGGCTCCTTGTGTGGTGAGACCAGCAGACAACACAGAGGTGAGCCCTGCCCTTCCTTCTATTTCGGGGCTCTGGCACCTTTTGCCCCAACAGTCAAGCTTCCCAGGGTTGAAAAAAACTCCTCCATTTCCTTCTGCAGCAGCTGGTTCCTCCGCTCAGCATCCTCCCGTGCCCGCTCAGAATTCCGCAGCTTTATTTCCAACATGATGTACTTTTTCTTTTCCTGGTCCAGTTCCTCTTCTAAGCAGGACATTCGTTTTCTCAGGTCAGCACTACCTTCTTCAAGCCTTTAAATGTCAAGAAGAGACAATTTTAGGCTCTGGCCTGCTAGGTTTAACCTTAGCAGAGGCAACCCTGCTCACACTCACTCCGGGAGGGAAGGGGGCTGGAGCCGGGCCCCAGTAGCTTCCCTTGGCCTGTAATCCAGAAATGCCATCATGGAGATTTTCTGCAGTCCTCACTAAAATGAAGAGCATGTATGGCTCCAGCACAGCCACCTGTCCTGCTGAGGGGAGTCACCTACCAGCTGGAAAGAACAGCATAGGGCCTGCATGGAAGGTGGGGCTTGAACTGATCCCTGGCCTTCACTGTCTTGCTCCAGCCTCCCTCCTGTGGCTCCCCATATGGCCCCCATGCCCAAGCTGGACATGACAGCTATCTGAGTGGTTACTTCCATTCTTAGTATTTGTAACATGTGTATGTAAAGAACACAATTTTTCTTTTTAAAGACACAGTGTCTCTGTCAGCCAGGCCGGAGTGCAGTGGTACAATCATAGTTTGTGGTAACTTTGAACTCCTGGCCTTACCCCATCCTCCTGCCGCAGCCTCCTGAGTAGCTGGGACTATACAGGTGCTCATCACCATGCCTGGCTAAGTTTGCTATTTTGTATAGAGATGGAATCCACTATGTTGCCCAGACTGAGCTCAAACTTTTGGCCTCAGGCAATCCTCCCACCTTTTGGCCTCAGCCCTCCCAAAGTTCTGGAATCACAGGCTGGAGACACCACACTTGGCCCACACCATACATTTTTTCAAATGTACCTTATTTAGGATCTCTATCCCCCTGCATCCCAAATAAGAATGTGGGCAGAGATTTTGCCCAGTTTGGCCACAGCTGTATTCCCAGCATCCAGAGCAGCATGTGGTACTTTACAGACAACAGATTCTCTTTGGAGAAAGCATGAAGGGAGGCTGACTCCTGATCAGGGAAGGATTCCAAGTCTGGGTCAGGCAGGACACTAAGCCAGTCTCATCCCCCACCTGATAGCTTTGTATGTGGTGAGAACAGGCCCATATTCCCCAAAGGCCTGTTGGATGGGAAGGTGCTAATCCCTCACCTTCCAGTGCCCAGAGACCCTCTTCACTCTACATCCTCTGTCCTCCAACCAGGACAACAGCCCCGCTATGAGGGCTACTGCCACTGCCCCAGTTCCTTTGGGAACATCATCTTCCCTCCAGCCCACCATGCAGCATGAATGAATGCGAGTGGTGGAGGCTCCTGGGTACTGTGGATGTGCCCGGCATCCCTATCCACTCACTGAATCCTGAGAGCAAATGGGTGAGCTCACGGTCCGAAAGAGCTGCTGGGCATACTCAGCCAACACACCTCCAACCCAGGCAGCTGACCCGCCCACCACCCAACAGTACTGCATCTTCCAAGGAGCCATGCCACTGAGAAGGCAGAAGTGGCTCACGATGGCTCTGCAGACAGAGCGAGATGCTGGCCCTGCCCCCTATAGACCGTCTTCTGTACAGTGAGGCTTCCCGCATACCCTCCTACAACAGGGTGGGTATGTGGGAAACTGGAGCCCTCATTCCCTGACTTCCTGACTGGCCTGGGGCTATATGCCTAGTGCCTGGGCCTGGACCCTGCCTCCAAGTGGAGGACCTGACCCCTCCAGCAAGGTACCAGGCAGGTCTGGCTGGCATCTCACTCTCCAGCCTTTAGCAGGTGTTGGTGCAGCACTGCCAGCCCACTGGGCATGCCATTTCTAGAGCCTTCCCAGGCATAGGAACACCCCTGTGATGGCTCCCAGCTTGGCTACTCTGAGACCTGCTCTCAGGGCCAGCAGCAACTACTGGGGGCCTGCTCCAGCCCCTAATCCCTACCTGGCAAGGCCTTTACCTTTTCATACTTGTCTCGTACTCAGTCTTCTGCCGGCTCAGCTCCGCCCTGAGCTCCACCACTAGGCCCTGCAGCGCCTGAGCGCGACGCGTGTGCTCTCGGCCTGGGCTGCCCAGCTCACTGGGCTCACTGCTGCTGGCACCCGCAGCTGCCTCGTCTGGGCTGTGGCCCAGGTTCGGGGAGTGGCGATCCTCGCTGCTGCTGGGGAGCGGGGAAGGCTCAAGGGCCCACTCTGCGTGCAGGGAGCTGCGAGCCGAGGAGTCGCTGGCACGGCAGGCCGTGCAGCTGCCCAGGGAGCCCCCCGCGGAGGCCTCCCCCGAGGACGAGGCCCCAGACCACGCTGTGCTGGCCACGCTGGGGGTGCTGGGTGCGAGGCTGGCTGGGGGCACATTGTCATAGGTGGAGAGTCTCTGCGCAGAGTCCGAGTCCTTGAGGCGGTCTCCTGATGAGGCCCGACGGTGGCCTCGCAGGGAGGACAGCCCATTCATGAGCCAGTTTCCGCCAGAAGAAATGATGGGCACTTCCAGGGATGAACTGCCTCCCTTGGGACTCCCCGACCGGCAGCCCGGCTGCCGGAAGGAAGACTTCCAGTTGGGCAGCGTCTGTACCTTCTTCCCAGGGCAGGTGGCTGCAGGACGGCTGCTCAGCCCTGTGGAAGAGGTTCTGGAGAGCACCGCTACAGTGGCCCCGTCCAGAGAAGAGGTCCTGTGCACGGGGAGAATGGGGCCACCAGGCCCTCCTTGGCTGTCCCTGGTGACCTCCTCAGAGCCCCAGCCCACTGTGCACTGTGGGCCCCCACGTGGGGAGGTGGGCCCTTCTGGGGCCATGGCAGTGAAAAGCTGGCTGTGTTTCCGGATGAGGACAGTCATCAGGTGCTGCACGAGGGAGGTGCCTGCCAGGAAGAGAGAAGGGCTTTGCTGTGAGTGGCCCCAGCCCAGCATGTCTACACTGCTCAGTTTAGGGCTGCAGCTCAGACCCAGGCTGCCTGGACCAGGCTGCCCCTCAAGGGACTTCAGCTACACCCAGATGAAAGACCACCATACCCTCTAAATCCAAGCACCGACAGGACCGCACCCAAGAAGGCCCTTGTCCAGACGCGGAGCCTCCAGCAGGGAGGAAGTACTGTGCCTCATTCCTGCACCACCCAGCTGCTCCAGGAAGTAGGAGTGACACCAGTCAAGGCTGGGGGTAGCCAGAGGCAGTGGAAGGTACAGGAAAGACCACAGTATTGATCCAGCTGCCTCAACCGAATCAAGACCAGAGACTAAAGGAAGTCTGCCAGGGTGTAAGGAAGGTTGATTGCTTGGGTGGACTCTCCCACTGAAGGTAACTAGGAATCCTGGAAAAAAGCAAGGAATTCTGAGCCCAAAAAACTAGGCTAAGCAGGAACTGGGTGAAGTAAGTAGGGGGAGCTTTCACCCTGGAGTAACCAGGCAGGTGGGGAGCGAAGGTGTGGGGTGGGAGACCCAGCAAGGGAGGCCCAAGTGGGGCCCTGAGCAAAAGCACCCCCCAAGAGCTACACCCAGCACAGGGAACCAAACAGCCTCCTATGGAGCCTGGGAGCAAGGGCTCCAACTTCCGTGCTGACCCACACCCATGTCGTCTGTTAAGTGTGGCTAACTGGCCTCTGGTGAGTCACCTCACCTGTCCTGGCCTATTTCCTTATCTGTAAAACGGGGGCTTCACTACAGCACAGGCTGGTTGTGAAGACTACAATTAAGTGATAGAAACAAAGGTCTTAGTCGAATCATATTGAAAGCAACTGCTCATGCTGCTTTTTCTAAAATTAGTTTTTTTATTATTTATGACTGAGGAGAAATTCTCTAGGGCTTACAAAACTCCAACATCCAGGAATCTTTGAAAAATACTTAATTGTAGAAGTCAAGTGAAAACATCTGTGTGTGTTCAAGGGCAAAGGCGTTGACCCCTCTCCTGCCCTTCAGCCTCCCCAGTCCACACAACCTCTGGCTATTCTAACTGCTCCTGATGACCTACTGTTGCCAGTCACAGGGCAAAGTTCCTTTTCCTTTTATAGCTGGACCCCATGGGGGTTGGGGAGATGGAGATACCACCTGAGCCACCCCTCCCACGGGCTTGGGCCTGGTTGGGCTTCTTCTGAGGACTTGCCAAGAGACGAGTGCAATCCCCAGCAGCTCCCACACCCAGGCATGTCTCCCCCATCACCTTCCATGATGGTTACTGGGTCCTCTATCTGTGGTCGTAGAATGTTAGGTCCAAAAACAGTCGCCAAGTTCTGGACACTCATCTTGTTGACGTTTGAGTGAGACTGAACCTCATCCAGAAACCTGCAAAGCAAGAAAGACACAGTTGGTGAAGAACTGCTCTCAATATGCCAGGAGCTGCCTGGACCCTCGTGCCCAGCCTTATTGCCTGTGGGATTTATACTGCTGGGCACAGCCTGCCCGAGGGCAGAGCTTCCACTGGGACCCAAAAAAGCCATCAGAAACAAAGGCCACTGGGACAGGGCGCATGGTTTGCGTTGAAGGAGGATGCATGAGTCTGCAGCCTGCATCAGGGCAGATGTCTGGAAGGCTCACGCTCCCCAGGCATAGGGCCGAGTGAGGGCCATCCCGCATGCCCCATCCTGGAGCATAGGATGAGGACCATGAAGGGTTGTGGTAAAGGGGCAGATGCCTAGAGGGATGGGATAGCCAGAAGCACTAAGGAGGGACAGAGTATATGTCCCTTCTGGAATGACCTACTTGGGAATATTTAAAACCACCTGCTCCCATGGGACCGTAAGTTCTGTGAGCTCAGGGAGCGGTCTTCACACTCCCACTGGGTGCACACTCAGTGCAGCTGTGCAGAGTGGGGCACAAGCCAGGCTCCTCAATAAAGGAGGGAGTAGGGGAGCAGGTGCAAGAAGGGCCAGTTCCCTGCCCTCCCTGCCACTTACTTGCAGATGTATCTAAGCAGGTTGTAATTGGCCTGAGGAAGGTTGCTCACTTGTTTAGCCAACTCCAGAGTCCCCTTGAGAATGAAAGAGAAAAATACAGAATTTCAAACACAGCAATGAGGCCATGGGCCCTCCTCTGCCTGAACAGGCCTGGGGGAGGGGTGAGTGAAGAGAAGGGAGAAGGGGGTGGCCCATGCAGCCCAGCCGCTGCCATCCAGTGGGCTCCAGGCTCTGGCCTCCTGGGGAAGCTGACTTGTTTTTAGGGAGCTGGTGTGAGGGTAAGCCTCTGCGGGGCCACAGAGGAATGTCAGGGCCAGCACTGGCCCTCTTATCAAGGCACAAATATTTGCTAGATAATGACCCCTCATCTCCCACACAGCTGGGGAAGGCAAACAGTCCTGCCCGGCCCCAGCTGCGGGGGCTGCAGACCAGCACTCTGTCCTGCAGTCAGCTCACATTCTTTGGGAAGGAGGCAGGATATAAATAGATTAAAGTCCCCCAGTTTCTGTGCCCCATGGCCAGCATGGGGCTCGGTGGTGAAGTAGGAGTTCCTGCAGTGTGGCAGCCAGGGCTGAGCACCTGGGACCTGTCCTGTTCATGGACCAAGGCCTGCATGTGGGGAGGGCCTCACACCCAGAGAAGGATGCTCCAGGTCCCCCCCGACACACACAGCAGGCTTCCACCCAGGATCCAGACACCACAAAAATCTATGAAAAGTCAACAGTTTGTGCCCTGACTTTTTATGCTGCTGCCCAGCCAGCCCACCTCCCAGGATAAGTTCCCCCGGGGCCACTGACCTCCCCCTCGTCCTTGGTGAGCAGCTGGGCGCAGTTGAGGAAGTCCTCGTACCTGGCGAAGGGGACCACAGGCTCAGGGAGCTCCCGCAGGTAGAGCTTCAACAGGGAGGCCACCGTGTGCACGTCCGTTGTGCTGGGAGCAAAAGAAGGGACACTTGTGAGGCCTGGGATGTCAGGGAACCGCACTGGTGACCAGCACTTCCACCCTACCCAGGGGGAGCTTCAGGTCCCTGTGTGTACACAGGGGAGCCCCATAGGCAGCCAACTGCCCTGGGTTGGGGAAGGCCTGGGCTGCTTCTAGGACCACTGGTTAGGGCTGTGGAGGGGAGACTGAGGCTCTGTGGCCGAAGTCTCCCCTGAAGCCCACGTCACTGTTAGTCTGACAGAGACAGTGCTTCTCCTGCCTCAACTGTGGGACACCAGGGGCTGCAAAGCTACAGGGCCCTGCAGGCACAGCTGCTTGACCATGGTGGATGCTCTGGGCTGGGGAACCATGCACCACATAGGTGGCTCACAGGCCTGGTGGCCACCCCAGGATGGCCACCTCTGCAGGATGATATGGGAACTACCTGCTTGCTGTGATGGGAACAGCTGTCTTGTGGGCCCTCTAGATGCTGCCAAGCACCAGCCTGGTTCTGCTTCCAACTTCCACCCCTGGGGGCTGTCCCAAAGCTGGAAAGGGTGTGCTGTGCCAAAGGCATCCACCATGCAGGGCTTCTGGCTAGTTAGTGGAGAGCAGACATCCCAGGCACTGGCCACCAGGGCCAGGTCGGAGGTCATGCTGGTCCCCTGGCCTCTGGGCTGCCTCCCACACATGGGACACCTGGGCTTCTATGCTCGCCACTCCTGCACAAATGCCCCATGTGTCCTCCCCAGGCCTTGGTCTCTGGCTCTTAGTACTGCCCAGGCTGAAGTTGGCCAGATTGCAGGATCCCAGGCCTGGGCTTGCAAACGTGCCCGCTTCCTGGATCCTACGTGGGCTCTGCAGTTCAGCTCCTGTACTAGATATACTAGGCAACTCCTCCAAGCTTGCACCCAACCTGTACCTGGGCTAGGGAGTTGTCTAGTGCCCTAAATTTCAAACCTGGATCTGTGTGCCTCTCAGAGGGGGTACTCAGGAAAGATGAACTGGTCCAGGAGACTTCACTATACCATTGAGGTGTGATGTGATGTGGCCCTGGCCAAGTCCCATGTTCCTTGGTCCCTTCCTCCCTGAAATTTGGGATTCTGAGGTTCCATGTACCCATGTATACCCCACATCCACACACCAGTGTCCCTCCCTATCTCTGGCCCAGTGGATCTTGGTCCCTATACCCTCCCAGCCAGGCATGCTGCTGTCCACACCCTCCACTGCCTTCTTCCTCCGTGGCCTTCTCTGCTCATACCCCTGGGTGCTGAGGGCCCCTTCCTCACTGTAGCTCTGTGGGTTCCATTGCAGCCTCTGCATGACGGGAACCAGCACAGAAAGGGGAGAGATAGGAGGCAGGCCCTCAGGTGTGCTCTATGAAGGGACAGGTGGCCAAAACAGAAAAGTGTAGGCAGAGCCATCGATGTATCTTTCATCTTTCTTACTCCTGTAGGTAAGGATGGACATCTTTCTGCCCTGGGGGGTGGACACAGAGGGGGCCCTCTATCTGCACCTCCCAGTCATATCCCTGCTCCTCAGCCAGTGCTCTCCCTGCTGCTCAGCCTTGCCCAGCCACACCCCGACCGTCTTCTATCTTCTCTCCACTCTACAGAGTGCCTCCCTCCCTCCCCTACCACACCAGCCATGCATCCAGGCCTCCCACCCACCAGCACTCAAGGAGGATGCTCCTTGGTACCCTGCCAGACTGGGAGCCACACAGCATGTGGTGAAGGTAGATGCTGCTCTGGGTACAAGGGCCAGGTGCAGGGCAGGGACAGCAGCTCATCAGTGGACACGGGGCCTGCCCCAGCCAAGAGTCCCAGTGCCTCTGTCTGTAGGTTCTCCTCATCTCTCCATTCCCAAGGGCCCCCTCTCACCCGTGCCAACACAGTGTCCACCCAGAGCATGGCCACAGCCTCCTGCCTCCCCCATCACCTTATATCCCTTGGCATCCTGGTCCATGTTCCCTGTCACCCAGGCCCACCTCCTCCATCTAGCCCAGGCTCTGTCACCTGCTTCAGTGGCCCCTCAGAGCCAAGAAAACACTCTGCCCTGGGCCTTCTTGAAGAGCTTGGGCCTTGGCAGGGCTCCTACCTGAGAGCAACTCATACCATGATCTTTAGCGTCCTGTCAAGTCTCTTACTGCTGAGGTTGGCCCTGGCTCCCGCTATGTGTTCACCTGTCGTCTGTTTCGGCTCCTTTAGCATGGCCAGTGCACAGGGCACCTTCCCCCTCTCTTGCCTCTCCATAAGCTCCTCCCTCAACGGACAGGAGCTGACTGAAGTAAAAAGAATTGCTGCCAGGAGTCCAGGGAGCCCCAAAAGTCTGGCACAGAGGAGATGCCCCTTAACTCTCAGCAACAACCTGGATAGACCAGGAGAGCTGCCCTGCCCAGGGCAGGGGTGGGAGGGGACAGGGACAGGACAGTTGGGGTCACTGGGGCTTCTAGATCTGTTAGGGCTCTTTAAGGGGTAAGGGCCCACTATCTAGGGCTGCAGAGGACATTCTTACAGCGGTGAGCAGGGAGGTGAGGAGAAGGCTTTGTGGTGAAGAGAGGCCAAGTACGGAAGCCAATGCCCAGCAGGTAGGCAGGTTGGGGCCTGGGAGAGAGAGTGCTCCAGCATGGAACTCTGCGAGGCGTGGGCACAGTCTCCTAGACAGAGGAGCTATGGTGAAGAGAAGGCCTCAGATACCCCACAGGAGTTTCTAATGGGAGAGAGAACCAAAGCCTAGGGCAGCTGTGGAGTGTGGGGGTCACTGCTAAGAAGGCAGGGTAGGGGGACAAGCTGAAGGCCCACTTTGGGGATGTCCCTCTGCATACAACCTCAGAAGAAGAGTAGGAGTGGCCAGACAGGAAGGCAGACAGGAGAAGGTGCATCCAGGATGCAGGAGCAGACTGCTCCCCATAGCTAAGGGGCCAGGAATCCAGTCTACAAGCTGAGGTACAGAATATACACTGTGGGGGTTCAGCAGGAGGGCCAGGCAAGGAGGGCAGCCAGGCTGAGCACACCAGGAACCACACCATGGGACAGTAGGTGTGTCAGTGGAGATATGGAGATACAGCCTGGTGGATGAGGCTCGGACTGTAGGAAGCTCTCACACTGTAGCGGTTTGTGGAGGGAAGCAGTGTGGTCTGATTTGTGTTTACAGACATCCTTCATGTAGCAGCAGGCACTAGGTCAGTGCATCTCATCCTGGGGAGATTCTGAAAGTCCTCAGTCCCAGGCCAGTATTTGAAACGACCTCCAACCCTAACTCAGGGCCACACAGGTACAGGATGGAAAAGGCCTGTCTAGCAGGTCAGAATACACCACAAGCTCACCAAGAGCCAGCACTGGGATGGGGTCTTAGAGGGCTCCAGATGAAGAGATGCCATGCCCTCCCTGAGCTCCACATCTGTAAAGAACTTGACCAACTCTGGTGGCTGTGGTAATGGGTCTGGGAGGAACTTGAAGGATTGAGGGTGGGAGGCCTGCGGCTGCCCATGAGGACTGGTGGGCTTGTCCTGGGGCAGAGGTGAGCCTTACCTATGAGGGCAGATCTGAGGAGAAAGGACAGAAGCACCACAGAGGCTAGAGTTGGCTTGATGTGGGAAGGAATAGCTATGGAAAACTTTCCTCTAAGGGGTGAGGTTCTATCAGGGAGAAGCGAGGCCCCAAATAGCTCTGGAGTGGGGGTGAGCCACAACTCCCCCACTTGCAGCTTCTGGGCTGTGATTATAGCTGACTGCACCCAGCTGGGAACTTCTCAAGACCTGGGTAAGACCTTTGTGATGGGTTAGAAGGCGAATGGCCCCAGGATAGGGAGGATCTGCTTCCCTATCCCTGAAACCTTGCTGCAGCATCTTGTCTCTGATAGAGCCTGGGGCAGCATCACCCGAGAACACAGAGCCTAGAGACAGATGGCGCAGAAGACCTGGAGTCTGGACACAGCCATGCCTGAACTATTCTAGCACAGCCACCACCCAGGTCAGGGTGATGAGCACACACTATGAAAGCAGCCAGAATGGATGTGAGTGGGCGGGGTTTGTGGCAAGGCTGCTGAGGCAAGTCTGTGCCCTACTCTGCCCACTGGGAGGGCTGAGAAGACGTGTGCCAACATGGGCAGCCAAGCCCAGCTTGGTGGTGTAGGACTTCCTGGGTGCCGGCCCAGCCTGCACACTGGGGCTGGTGCCCTGGGCAGGAGCCCCTCAGGAGGGACAGACAAGGGGTTCCATCTACACCGCCTCCCCTAAAGCTCACCTGTCAAACAGTGGTTTCTCTCCACAGTCAAAGGAATCCTGCAGGTCCCTCACCAGGTTGGCCTGGCCCGGCATGCGGAAGAGACCCTCCTCGGTGAGCCCGCGCTCCCGGATGAAGTCCACGCACTGCTCCACCAGCAGGGGGGCCAGGCGAGGGCCGTACTTCCGCTCATGGTGGACTGTGTCCTCCAGGCGCTGCCCAAAGATCCCTGGGCACAGAGAGGAGTTAGTCACACCCTCAGCCCACTCTATGTGGGACAGAGGGCACTTGGGACACTGGAGGCAGTGCTGCTGGACTACAGAGGGCGCCTCCTGCGGAAGGCAGTTACACACTGAGAAGATGCACACCAGGAGGCCGCACCCCGGGCCCGGTGAACAGAGAGCAGGAGGGATCAGTGGCACCTGGCCAGGCCTGGCTTGTGGAGGTTGCCCAAGCCAGGAGCAAATGGCCCCAGGGCACATCCATGCTGTACATTATTCATCGTTCCGAATGGGGAACCAGTAGCAGCAGAATGAACAGATCCGTGTGTGCTGTTCTTACTGTGGAGCACTGTGCAGCCCTGAGAAGGACTGACGCACAGCTCACAGGACAAGACAGACGACAGAGCAATGTGAACAACACAGCCATGACTCAACATCACTACATTAGGGAAAGGCAAACCCAAACCACAGTGAGGTACCACCTCCCACCCACGAGGATGGCGACCAGGAAGAGAACAAGGGCTGGTGAGCGTGGGGAGAAACTGGAGCCCCCGTGCACTCTTAGTGGGATGTGACATGGTGCAGCTGCTATGGAAAACAGCAGATTGGCTCCTCGAAGAATTAAAACAGGAATTCCCATATAATCCAGTAATCCCACTTCTAGTTAATGCTCAAAAGAACTAAAAGGAGGGTCTTGAAGAGACACATGCCCACCCACATTCAAAGCAGCAGTATTCACAAGAGCTAAAATGTGGAAGCAACCTGAGTGTCCAACTGTGGATGAACGGCTAAGGTGTGGTATAGACAAACAGTGGAATGTGATTCAGCCTGCAAAGGGAAGGGAATTCGGACACGTGCTACAACATGGATGAACCTTGAGAACATTATGTGAAGTCGTGATTCCACTTACAGACGAACCTAAAATCATTAAATTCATCAGAACAGAAAGTGGAATGGTGGTTGCCAGGGGCTAGAGGAGGCAGAGGCAGGGAGTTAGTACTTCATGGGTATGGAGTTTTTGCGAGATAAAAAGAGTTCTGGAGATGGACAGTGCTGATGGTTGTACAAGAATCTGAACAGCCTTAATGCTCCTGAACTCTATCCTTTAAAATAGTAAAGACAATACATTTTGGCTGGGTGTGGCGGCTCATGCCTATTATAATTCTAGCACTCTGGAAGGCTGCAATGGGCAGACTGCTTAAGTAAGCTCGTGAGTTCGAGATGGGCCTGAACAAGAGCGAGACCCCGTCTCTACTAAAACTGAGAAACTGAGGCAGAGGATCTCTTAAGCCCAAGAGTTTGAAGTTGCTATGAGTTTTGACTCTACACACTCCACCCAGAGCAACCAAGTGAGACTCTGTCTCAAAAAAATAAAAAAAGAAAAGACAGTAAATGTTATGATAATTAAAAAAAATTAAAGACAAAAGACATAAACAAAAGCAAAAGAAACCAGACCCTGGAATACATACTGCATGACTCCATTTACATAAAGTCAAAAACAGGCCAAACTCATCTGTGCTGTCAGGCCAGGCGAGTCTACCTTGGTGGGTCAGTGACCAGAAGAGGCCCACGGGCTTCTAGGGTGCTGGTTATCATATTTCTCTAGACCTGGCCCTGCTTACTCAGTCTTGGTCACCCTGAGAAAACTCATTGAACTGTACATATAGGATTTATTTGCTTTCCTGCATGCTACACTTCAGTAACACCTGAAAAAAAAAAAAAAACCCCAAGAAGAAAGAAAGAAAGAAAAGAAATCAGAGAGGAAAGATCCAAAACACTTAAATATAATAGGACAAGATGGCAAATGAGGGGGAACACAAGGAGAGAGGGAGAATCCAGATTCCATCAAGCAGGGGCAGCTTTAAAATAAGATCCGTGAGTCTCTGATACAGTACCTGGCACAGGGCTGGACCAGTAAATGCTCCTCCTCACCCAAAGACAAAGTGTATACAACTTGGGGGGGATGAAGCCTCCTCACTTCAAGAAAACACACCCATGTGAGGGGCACCTAGTGGAGGCTATCAGTGCTTTAGGGAGAATCATGGGTGCATGTGTAAGTGTGTGCATGTAGGTGTGGGCTTGTGTGTGCACGTGTTGTGAATGCGTGTGCATATGTGGGGTTGAGTGTGTGCATGGGCATGCACACATCGGGTGTGTGTGAGTGTGAGGCGGCCATGCTGAAGGGGCTGCATATGGTGCTCTGGCTCCTCCAGCACCAGATGCTGCTCTGTGCACACTACATGCCAGCATATTTAATCCTACACAGCTTGCTAACCTAGGGACTAGTATTTTCATCATCATCCTCATCTTGGCTTCTCAGATGAACAAACTGAGAACAGAGTGGTTTAAGAATACGCCCAAACTCAACCAGCACATGACAGGGTCAAAGTTCAAACTGAGGCAGTCTGGCTCCAGGTGTGCAGAATGCTCTAGGCCACACCCAGGCTGGTGTATAGACACCTAAGGGAGGCGTGTGCTGCCCAGTCTTGTCCCCTGTTCCTCCTGTCTTTCCTCCCCAGCAGTTCCCCAGGATGCAGGGCATTTGGGCAGCAGGCAGAGGCACAGAGCTTGCAGCACTGACAAAGGGGAAGGCCACCGCCTGCCTGGATTCCATGGACAAACCCCACCATCTCTGCCCATGGGGAAGGGCCCAATGGGCCAGTCAACAGCCTCGAGCATGGGGGCAAAGCTGCCATGAGACAGGAGCAGCTCTGAGAAGCTACTTTTCAAGGCTCACCACTCACAGCATCCTGGCCTTTCCACCTGGTCTGGGGACACTGAGCCCCTGCTCCCTTTCATCTCAAGTGGGGCTGAACAACCCATACTCAGTGACATGCCACGAGGGTCCACAGATGTGCTTGTTTAGCTCTTGTAATGTTTGAAACTTTTTAAATTAGTTATTTAAAACCAAGAAATTTGGATTCCAGCTTCTATCAAAGAGCCCACAGATATGGTGGCACTAGGCTGGAGCTCCCAGAAGGTAACAATGGCGGGTTCAGTGGCCTCTGTGCCCCCAGAGAACACACACACTGCCATTCTCCGAAGCATCCACCACCCCACCATCGCCTCCAGCTGATCACACACTCCACCCACCAGGCTTGGCTGGCTATTCATTCCCCTCTTCTTCTCTGACCTCTGGGGTCAGGATAAATGAGGAAAAGGGCCTGACCCATGGCAGGTAGACATGGGAAGCCAGGCCTGTTGTGACCAGAGGTGCCCACTAAGAGTGCAAATGACCAAGCAGAGGACACAGGGCAGGTGAGTAGGGAGAAGTGCCCATGGTCAGAGTGTCCCAAGCAGGGAGGAGCCTGCTTCCTGCTCCCCGCTGTACTTGCATGCGCGTGTACACACACACGTGCACACGCACCTTCCCTTCAGCTCTACCCACTGCCCTACTGCCTGAGTGTCAGGACAATATCTGTGTCCATTCTCCAGGTCTGTGTATGCAGGGCCTCTTTCCCTTCCAGTCTGTGCAAATTTCTCGTTAGCCCTTGGAAATGGCTCAGATGTCTCTCCTACATGAACTGTCCCCCTCCCCTCAGAGCTCACTCTCTCTGTCACAGCCCTGACAAGATGCTCCCCTCTGCTGTGTCCCTTGCCTGCCAGGGCTTCTCTCTCTCTCTCTCTCTAGTGCCCAGCCCAGGCAGGAGTGAAGGGGGGACACACTGTCCAGGGCCATCTTCCACCCCTAATCCCTACACTCAGCTCACAGGGGACTGAAGGCCACAGCTGGGGAAGAGACAGTGTGAGGAAAAGAATTCCTAAGTTCTCTCTAGAGACCCACAAAGCGTGGGTAATGCCATCCAGCCTCCTCTTGGCTCCAGCCCTTCCTGCTTTCCCATCTTCCCAGGACACCTGCCATCCATCTGTCCATCCATATTTCCATCACTCCTACACTGGGAAGGGCCCTGCCTAGGTCAGGGGGAGCTTCAGAGTTGCCCTGAGTACTGTAAACACAGAATCCCACCCCAGGCCTCCTCTGCTTGAAACCCTCTGCTGCCTAGCTCAGGATAAAGCCTGAACTTGGTAGGCGAGGCCCAGCCCCTCCTCCCTCCACCAGCCCTGGGCCATCCCAGCTGTCACATAGCACCTGGCCCATAGCTCCCAACCCTAACACATCACTGCCTCCCCCATGAAGCTTTCCTAACTACTGGCACTGCCCCTAAAACAGGGGTGAGAGAGGGAGGAAACGAAAGACCACAGGGCTGGGGACACTTCTAAAGAGGGGAGATTTCAGGGAGAAGGTAATTTTGGAACCAAGTTTTAAAAATGAGCGAGAGGTAGTGGGTGTGGGGGGTGCAGGTGGGGCTGAGGGAGCGTGGTTGGGAGCACAGCAGCACTCTTCCCCGGAATGGCCCAGGGGCCGCAGTGAGTACTGACCCCACCACATGTCCCTCAGGCACTCAGAGGCCCAATGTTGAGCTTCTGCCTGGCATAGGGGATAGGCAGGAGTGGGGATGAAGGCATAGGCAGGCAGGAGGTGTTCAAGGCCAAAAGCTATGGAGACAAAGAATCTGAGTCTGCACTGATCTGGGTACACATCTTGGCTAAACCAGTGAGGAGCCAGAATGGCCCCTTTCCTGGGCTTCAGTCTCTCTAGCTAAAAAATGGAATGATCGCACTCATCTTTAGGGGCTGCTATGAAGACCACCAGACTGTCCCAGGGCCCTGCCCCCTGGCATTGCCAAGCCCTGAGACTAACCCCACATTCCCAGCACAGCCTCTGGAGCCTGTGTGGAAGCTTGTGCTGCCTTCAGCTGTGAGCTACCCCTCCCCCGACTTTGGAGGAGAACCCTCTGGGGAACCCTGTGGGGAGTCCTCCTTCTGGCTCAGCCTCCCAGAAGGAGCCTTCAGGGCCTGGCTTCCCTCCCAAAGGCTCTGCCCACCACTCCCTGGCCAGGGTCTCTCCCGTACAGCCTGGCAGGGCCTGGCCCCGCCACGCTGCAGCCCTCCCAGCACATGTCAGAGAGGGGAGCCTTGCCAAGAACCAGTTCCAATAGCTTTGTCA